ACTAGGTCAATGGTGGAAAATATAGTGCTGCCAGCAAGATTATAGTCGAAGTCCTGTATATGACGTATAGAGTACCTGTCGGGAATAGTTCTCGCATTCAGCATCCGGTAGTCTCCACAGGGACGCCAGCCGTCATCCTTTTTCGGTGCTAGATGTAGAGGAGATGACCATGGAGACTCTGATGGTCGACAGGTACCAATCTGTAACATGGCCTCAAATTCGGCCTTAGCAATTTTAAGCCGATCAGGTGCTAATCGACGTGGTGAGCAAGATACAGGTGGTCCAGGTGTTGTGCGTATGTGATGTACAGTATTATGTTTTACTGAAGCATGTAAGCCAGAAGGACGAGTAATGTTGGGGTATTCGGCTAGTATGCGATGATAAACAGTGTCACCAGATATTACTTTCACAGAAAAAATATCAAAATTTTTGGCAAGCAAAGCCGAGGTACTAAGCGTAGTATTAGCATCTATTAGGCGTTGATTACGCACATCTACAACTAAATTATAATAAGATAAAAAATCAACACCTATTATCGCTCGTGTTACGTCTGCGACAATAAATCGCCAAGCATAGTCACGGCGCAAACCAATATTTAAAACAAAATGAGCATACCCGTATGTATGAATCGTTGAACCGTTAGCGGCGCATAATTCATAATTTGTTTTTTGACGATGCTTGCTGATTAATTTTTTGGGGAAAACACAAATGTCGCTACCTGTATCAACTAAAAATTGTATTTTAGTACGACTGTCTGTTACAAATAAGCGACCGGAGTTTGGACAGGCGTCGGTCGCCATTACGATCTGCCCTACACTTTTCCCGAATAATCACAAGGTTTCACGCACTTAGTAGCTTTATCACTGAATTTAGAATGATACCAACACACAGGAAATTTTTTATAGTTGGATTGTGACCGTCGGTGATGTGAATTTTCACGGGAACGATCGTTAGAAGTTAATCTTCGTCGTTGTCGCGACATCCTTTCTACTTTCTTGTTCAAGAATTGTATCTGTCGTGTGAGCTCGGCGATTTGGTTGGACGTATCGGTAGAACTTCCAGGTGTCACCGATGCTGCTGCTACTTGTGGGCTTGGTGGGACGATGTCATGGATTTTATCTGCCAGCTCCGCGACTTCCTCCAGGGATGCTTTCACTTGAGATGCTATTATTGACTACGTACTACTCGGCAGGCGGCTGGTCCAAATTGTCTTTAGAAACTCCTCAGGAATCTCTGGCCCTGCGAGTTGTTGAAGGTGACGCAGGAACTGTGACGGTTTTCTGTCGCCCAGCTCTTCGTGTATAAGTAATTGTTTCACCTTCTTTTCCCTCGATGCGGACAGACGTTTAATGAGCTCCGTCTTTAACCGCTCGTACTTGTTCGGTGATGGTGGTGCCGATATTATGTCTTCAACTTCCGATGCGTAGACAGGGTCCAATTGACTGATGGCGTAGTGGAATTTAGTGGCATCCGTGGTTATATTTGCCGATATTATGTCTTCAACTTCCGATGCGTAGACAGGGTCCAATTGACTGATGGCGTAGTGGAATTTAGTGGCATCCGTGGTTATATTTGCCAGATAAAATTGGCTCTCTAGCTGTGCGAACCATAACGCCGGCTTCTCTGGATAAAATGGCGGAACCCGTACACCAACACGATGAACATCACTCGGCGGATTTGATGTTACAGTTTGCTCCGATGTCTTCGTAGGCTCACTCATGATGTGCTCAATCGGGGTCACCAGTGAGGCTATGGTGATGTAACTCCAAATAAATTATGTTGGATTTTTAAAGTTTTTATTCACCACTCACATGTGTAAAAAGTAATAAAATATAAGCACAAAAGTACAGACAATGCTATAGAATAAAGAAGGCGAACGTGAGCAAAAAAGAAATATGAAAACTACTTCAGGTTGACATCTAATAATATGAACAATAAATTTTAATTAAAACAACGCGTGCTACATGCATCTCAATAATAATAATCTGTGGACGCAACTCTCGTATTTCGCGGGCTACCTCACGCATGCGCGAGCCGCGACGCCGCGCCGCGCGGTCTCACGCCTGCGCAGTAACCGCGTCTCGAGCTAGTGCGAGCGCCAAAATTATATAAGAAGAAACTATATATGTTTGTCCTTGTGTAACACAAATTCGAACAATTACATTAAATATTATTTCTTAAATTTAACATGTGAAACAATTTTATATATTGTATTATTTGGTATTTGTACATAGAATTTTATTAAATATATTAAATTTTTATAATGTTTACTTTGACAATTATTTTATCTTATGCATATACATTAATTTATATGTAGGTACACTACAGCCCCTTTTATCACTGATATTACTAATAAAAGACGGAAAGATAATGTTTACATCCAAAATACACAAACTACATGCTTCCTCCTCTAGATTCTTTATTTTTCTTGGACCTGTTACGACCAATAATATTTAAAACCACAAAGCAGAAAAAGCAGACTACAGCTTACTAATCACCAGCATGAGGAAAGAGTCACTACATTCACTTGATTCAAGTCACTTGCAAGATGTTAGAATTTAGAAGCTAAAGCGCATTTTCCAGAATGAGTAAAGTCCTATACAACAGGAATCTAAATCTTGGACTCGAAAACATAATATAATCCCTTGAGTGAGTTGGTAAATATGTCACTTGAAGTCAAAAACTTTAATTCTCTTTCGTGTTCTTACTTAACTAGTCCTTCAATGGGACTAACATATGGCGACTATGTTGAATGAAGATGCGTTAATATTCTCTTATTTAATAATATTATAAAGGATAAAGAATTGATATTGAGTTTGAATTGAATAGGCTCCGAAAATTACATGGACGCGAACACAAAATGCGCTTAACAAACTTACCGTACCGTCGTATTCTGTAGATCTTGTGGCGCGACAGGTTAACCAGACCAACATATCAGCATTCAAAGGATGGACAACGATCTCGAGCTTATTAACACTATCAACTGCCGCAAACTCTCTTATTTTATCCACGGATGATAAGGGTTCTTCATCTCATAATTCAGGGGAAAATTATGGAGAAACACAGTGCTGAAAGAAGGCGATATTCCTGGTTTAAGAACCTAAGGGATTGGTTTGGGGGTCCCTGTTTTAAACAGCAGCCTTAAAAATAAAGATGGTCATGATGCTGCCCGACTTCCGATAGGAGTGGCGTATCATGAAGATTCTTCAGAAATATTGATTCGATCATGAACATCTTGTCACCTGCGGAAAGCTCGAAATACACGGGGACTTAGGCAAATAGCTTGTTATTTATATTCAAATTCTAGTAATAATACGAGTATAAAAAATATAATATTAGATTGTGAATATCATCAACAGTCTATATCAGTTCACTATGGGTCAATAGACCCCACCCATTTTCCTCTGTTTTCGGCCACTCAAACTTCTACCTACTATCTTCCTCGGAGCGTCTTGTCGTCATCTCCTTTGTTATGCATATAACTGCCCGAAAAAAAAGCGAAATTAAGCAATGACCACACCCCCAAGCCTCCTATTAGAAGTTACCAGCGATTAGCTTCAAGTTCAGTTTATGTGCTGATGACGAGATTCAGTAACTTTTTATAATGTCATGACTGCACGAAACCCTCGATATTGCGAGTTCGACTGGCTCTTGCCCAGTTTTTTATCCGGCTCAACGGCACTTTTATCACGTGTCCTAATCAACGAAACATTTTCTTGTTAACTTTAACCACAATGAGCTACAATTTATTGAACTGTTACAACAATTAAAATGAAATAACCTTTTCAAAATTTATGCACTTGTAAAAATTTATTTATAGTTATGCACTTAGGTAATAATACAATATTATTATGGAGTGGAGCTGATCGGATGGTGCTTAAATAAATATATTTTTATAAGATTAAATAAATATATTTTTTAATTACTTATATTTTTGTTTTGCAGCTCAACTGCCTCTTGAAGAAAGTATGGAGCGACGTCTGACAGTAATGAAATCACGTATAGAATTCCTGGAGACTCTTTACCGTTCAAGGCAAGAGGATATCCTAAATATACAGGTGAATTCTAATCATTGTCGATTCTTTTACACATTACCAGCTAGTTGCACAAATGTCCATTACAATAGTCATTAGTTTAATATCATATACCCTATACAAATTTTCACATTTAGAACATTCATTAGAACTTAAATCGTCATTAAACCTTAATATATCTTTGTGCACCTGACTGTAAGGCTAATAGAAAGAAAGGAATAAGAAAATAAAAGAAATGAATTTTCTTTAAAACTCACTAATGTGTGTCGTCAGAATTTTAACGATCTGGCTCTTACTGGGTTTGAGTTTGCTAATATTAACATAACTATCGCATTTCAACGGCATCTCAATAAATGCAATTACATTTTGCTATTTTGTCCAATATTATAAGTGGAATGTCTTCTTCACAAATCAACAGTAAGAGATATGTTTATTAAGAACTGTGTCAAAAAGGCTTGTTATTAAAGCGCCATTGATTAGTTTTGAATACACTTAAAATAGGCAGAATTAGGGCTCTGGTATAAGGAAGTTTATATTAATATTTTCATTATAAAGAAATCAGAAATATTTTCTTTTGCATTCGGTGTTCCATTTGGGTTAATTGACATTAAGTCAACGTTAATCAAATTAATAATTAGAATACCTAATAAAAATACTCGATAACCTTAGTAGTTAATTTGTTGCTTCTATTTCAAGATAGGTGCTCCATAACTTAAACAATAAAACCCATTTACAAATTGCGATTAGAACTAAATGTGTCTGTATAAAGTTCCTTATGATAATGGTCATAATTAGAATGTGTTATAATGGTGCCTAGTGAACTTCAACTGTCACTCAGTCGGGGCGTGTACTTAACGTATTTAATTATCGTATATTTAAAAATATAATGTACGAGGCCGTCCCTAATAGTTAACACAAAGGGTGCTATTAAAGCGATGAAGGTTTTCAATCAACAAAGGCCTCGAAATGTGGCTTTGTCCGCCCTCCTATATCCATCCCTTCGGAGTTTTTACCGATGCGATGGTGAGTAAAGAACATATATGGTAAAGGTAACGTACGGTAAAATGGAATATAATTATATATATATATATATTAAAGTTTTTATTCTTGTATAGAACATCACCAGCTTTTAATGTCTGTCGAATTGAGTAGGGATAATAGGCCATGACCTAACGTGTTGGCCTACTGCGGCCCACTGCACTATTTTTTGATTTGAAATTTAATGCACCAACAATAAATTCATGAATCAATCCATTGTTCAAGATTTCCTATACCTATAACGAGCTTTATAAAATCGAATATTTTATTTAACTTGTACGACTTCTGAGTAATAAATCATAAAATGCCATTGAAATGCTAAAAAATAAAGTTGCTCATAAAATGGAATATATTACAATGAAATTCTAAATTTATTTTTTATGAAATCTGATAATTATGTTCTTTACATTCCGTAGATAAATATTTAATATTATTATTTTCCAGGGTAAAATTATAGCGAAACAAGAAAACGAACAGTCATCTTCGGAACGTTTGGCTACGATTGATGGAGGTTCCGCCGTGACCATGTCTCCAGAGGTTCAAGCGCTATTGAAAAATATCACCGGTAAAGTCTATGTTTTAAATGGATTAGTTTCTTCTAGGCCCATAATTCTATATAGCATCTTTAATAAATTTGATTGCACTTTAAATCCTATTGAAAATGTTGAAGTGTACTTTAGAACTAAACCAAGTGGTAAAAAGTGTACCTACATTCGACATTATTTTAAGATAATTTATTTAAATTAAATCACAGTGATATTAACGTAATATATCCATTTCAAGTGTTAAGAGACGTTTTGTATAGAACGGTTATTATTGGATAGCCTGACATAATTTCTTTAACTATATTTTGAGCTTATTGTTGATGGAGAATTAGGATGTAAGTTTTTGTTTGTTTTTTGTAATGTTTAATATGTAAACATGTAACTGTCTTTGAATTCATGCTTTGCGAATAAAATTAAGCGATTTTGTAACGTATATAATTTAGCTACGCGCGAGGTATCGGAGTAAATGCAATAAAGAGTAACTTATAACCTAATTATAATTATTAATAAATGTTTTTTATACATCACCCTATGCAGATGAACTTTTGGTAATTTACCTTTTTTTTTAAATATAACCTTCGTTGCTTAAATTTACATTATTCCAGATTGATTGAATTTAGTGATGCTCCCGTCTGCTTAGCGTTTAAAAATATTTAATTTGATGAATTTTTAGTGAAATCTAGCGAATGAAATCACTATTGAGCCATTTATTCACGTGTGTAGTTAAGAACAGCTTAACTACACTTTAACCTTAAACAATGATTGTGAATTCCTTAAAAAGTGACTACATTTATTGCGGGAATTGACCCTCTATTACATGCCCTTGAATTCAAAATATGCTAACAGAAACTTGTCATAGTGAGATTGTCCTTTCTCCCAAATAGTTCTTTCGTCAATCTCAAGGGCATAGCAGTTTTTTGGAATAATATTAGTCTTTTTCGTTCTAAAATAATGTAGTCACTCTCACGTGTTATTTTAATATAATCAGCTCAATTGCAGTTTCCATGAGTTGAATATGAAAATACCTTTGTATTGATTGTTTTACGGATCTGGATCTTGAATCTTCTTATAATTTACGTATGCTGTGCTAGTTTATTGTGAAAACAAACCATTCTTGTTTCTTTTTACCTATCTATTCACAGTGAACCATTTCCGTAGGGAGTATGGGCCTCCTCCTCCCCTGCCTTGCGCTTCTATAAAAATCAAAACCCTAATTCAAATTCACTCAGGTGCCCTAATTCACTACAAAAACGGCATCCCCTCAATCTTGAACGTTTCGTGGGATAAGCAAAGTGAGTTTCGAAATTAAATATTTATAGAATATCTGAGACACGTCAATTAAATTTGTTTTGTATTTTTATACAAAAAATGAAATCAATAGACTCAATGACGTGAATTTGGACACGTGAGTGAAGGCCGCTTGTGCCAGGGAGAGGCAGCGCGGCGGATCGGGGCACCATAACTAGTAAAGAAACACGCGCCCATTGTGTTCCGATCCGAATTTGAAATACTGGGATATAAAAACTTTTTATTGTGACTTGCCAATACCACTATTAAATTTTTGCAACAGGTACAAGGGCAGCCGCTGGTGTTTTTCAGAAGAATATACAATCTTTGAAATTGCCTTTCGTTTACCACCTCTTGCCACACCTCATGAACGACCATAACAGCCTTAAGCCAGCATTCCACATGAAAAGCGGAAAGTTGTTTGCCGATGTAGTAATCGGTATACCGACTGTAAAAAGGGACAAAGAAAATTACCTCATGATAACGTTATCGGTAAGTATCCTATATTTTTACGATCTTGTTAGTATTCTGTACACAGTATTATCAAGTATCATTGGAAAAGAGCAAACAGAATGGAATTATTCAGATGGTGCAGTAGATAATTCAGTTACTTTCACAAAAGTCATCTAAGGATTGATTTGAAATTTATCAATTCGAGCTCCCCGTTGCTTCGGATGATACTTAAATCTGTTCTTCAGCTGGATTTGCAATTGTATAGTATTTCGATAGCTTTCCAAGTCGAGTGGCTCATTCGCTGTTTATAAGATATCGCTATCTTACGAAATGTATGTAACTCGGTATGCTCTAAAGTTGATTAGTAATGGACTCTACAACTAGTTTAAATATTACAGAAACAACACAACATAATCACGCGAATTGTTGCTTATGAACATACGCAATATGAATTAAGATATCTATATAATTAAAATTAATCACTAATTAATTATAGTTGTTATCATGCTATTACAAATTTGCACTCTGTGAGTTTGGGTATTTGAAGCTTCTCGACTACGTGACTACGGTCACTAGTTCACAATACCATAGTATTATAGAATAGTACGCCGACTCGAGCAACGAGCGAGCGATAATAACCTAAACAGGTTAAGTTGTTGCTTATAGATACTTCAATCGTCATAAATCAAAGACCATATAGAAAACATCAGGGATCTATACAACATTTATTAATTATTTCATGCGGTGAAAAATTGTAAAATATTTATTACGTCGTGTGATTTGTTTTGAAAAGTTACGGTCGAAAAGGATTAGTCAAAATGTGACGGTCGTGAATCATGTATTTATTGAAATAAAATAAAATTATTATAAAATTTAACTTTTTATACTGTTCACTATTTCTTCACACAAAATTGGAATCTTCAAATTTGATAGCTGAATATTTTTACTATAGTAAGGCCGTCAAATAATAGGCAGAAAAAACCTATAAGTACTTTTTTCTGTAGCAATTAATTGACTTTTTACAAAGTACAGAAAAAAATCGCATGTTTCGACAAATACGAAATGTTATATTTTCTAATCGAATTCAAAGCCATCTTTGAATTTCTAGTTTCAAGGCACAATTTATAAGTACGAGCATGCTATTGTGATACTTTTCCCCAATTTTTGTGGTTATATTATTGTAGTTTTTCTATGGAGTGCTTCGTTATCTCTATTACTGCCCATTTTTACACGACTGACCAAAAAAAGAGTATATTGTGTTTGTGATTAATATAAGAATTCATTCATTTTATTCACCATAACTTTTAAAAAAATAGGGTCGACAGGCGGTAGGGTTTTTAGAGAGCCATGAATGTAAGTCAGATTAATAACTTTGATGATATTTATAGAACAAAATATTGACTAATATTTTATTTGATCAGAATAAAACTAGTTAGAATTTACATTGGAGTTAAAAGTAATACCGATGTTATTGTTTAGGTGCTGATCTGTTAATCACGTATTACTGGGAATACCCTATTATAAGTAATTTATAGATGTTCGAAACTTACTCTCTCAGAAATGAACCAAATTGTTTCTCAAAATACGACATTCTTTCAATTTTGATTGTAGTCGATCTAGCTTTTCGAGATAAGCAAACACTTGTTGTAAAACATGTCAATTTGGGTACTTTCATTATATAATATCCAGATTTCGTGTCCCATACAAAACGCAACGATATATACTGAAGCCGTGGGAGATTCGTGTCTGCGTGAGCAAAGATGCGTGTATTAATAGCAGTTTTCATTTATGTCATAAGTGATAACAGTATAGACAACGATTACCTCGAAATGTTCCAAATTTTATTATTCAATTTTTTTACTATGCTAACTTATAAATATCATTACAATTTCCCAAACATAACCATTAGGTAATAAAAAATATTATGCTCATTATAGGGCTCGTGCACCTAAAATCATTTAACATTCAACTACTTTTTATCTAAATAATTAAGACTATAAGAAATAACGTGTTAATTATAATTAAATAAAAGTCCTATTATAGCCAAACCATCATTTCTTTTATTTTATCGGTAGAGAATAAATAACACTTTAATGAATTTTTTTTTAATTGTAATTATACGCTTTTAAAAATGAAAAATGTAAGCTTGTAAATCGCTTTATAGCCTTTTATATCATAATAATTTTACGAGTAATTATAGGAGTTAAAAACTTATTTACAATCTATTTCATTGTCGGGCATGATATTAGTACTTTTTATTTCAGTCCAATGACTGTTGTTAGTAATTCGATTGGAAATGAAAAATAATAATAATGCATTATGGAAAGTGCTCGATAAAGTAAACATTACTTTTTTTAATAGAAAAAAATATGTAATTCCTATTTACATATTGTTTTATAACAGTATAAAATATAAAAGTTTATATTTAATTATATACCAATTTAAATATTATGCTGCCTGACAGATCAAATATAGAAACTATATTTGGGACATTTCCTTGTTTATTAAAGATAATGTAACTTCTTTTTATTGTTCACTAACAAAAAAAGACATTGATTGTTATTTTTTATATTTATCCACTAGTGACGTCGCAATACTTGCAACATGAAAGATAATAACAATAATCATCATTATCATCATCAGCTTTTTAATATCCCTACTGCAAGGGCACAGGCCTTCCTTTTGAAAGGTGAAGGAGAATGTACCATGACCCTCCTAATGCAATTGGAGTTTATTCACGACTGCAAATGCAGGCAGGACCAACGGCTTAACGTGCCTTCCGAAGCATGGAGTAGTTCGAGATAATAATTTTTTGGTCAGCCATCCCGTGAGCGATCCTTACGGAAATTACTTAACAACAACGATCGCTTTTCCACTACGCCACCGAGCAACTTAAAGATATTAAACTAAACGAAAACCGTTTGGTCGAATTTATTTAAAAATATGAAAAGCACCAATATTATAAAAAGGGGAAATAAATTTTACGCCCATGGTAATATGCATTCCGTTTTTATCAGTTTTGATTTTTAATAAATAAATTTTGAAATAAATATAAGCCAACAAATTACTCCCATAATTATGAATAGTAATGCTCAAATTGACCGGGCCTGTTATTATCGCTCGGTCGGTGTACTATTTTTTACTATGTTCGAACGCATGCCCACCGTCGAGGAGCGCTCGCGCAGTAATGAGCTCAGACGGACGGTGCTTAGCATTTTGTAGTAATTTTGCTTTTAAATTTATCGTTTTTATTGAAATAAGATAATGAATTTATATTTCAAAAATTATAAAATCTTAATTCTTTATGAAGTAGTCATTATTTTTGTATAAATTTTGTTCCATAATATTATCGTAGATATGAAAAATTCACAGTTAACTTTAAACGATATTTGGCTTTTTTTGGCTTATAATATGTTTTTTTTTTCTATATTTAATTAATGTTATTTCAAAATTTCGAAGTCACTACAAACTAAACGACTATATAAGAAATATCATTCTATTTTTTTTATTTCATTTGTTTAGAACAGTAGCCTAAGTCAGGAGGATAATTAAAAAGTTTAGTAAAAATAAGCGAAATTTCCAAAAGTTACTGAGATCGAGACCACCAAAATTTATCATTTTACGCAATAATTACCGTTGAAATATTATATGGCTTTATGGGTATTATAGCAATTTTTGATATATGCTAATAAGCTCTCTAATATTTTTCTTTCTATTAATTATAGCATTTGATCAGTGAAATGAATCCCCAAGATTTGAATTCTACTCTTATTGTGGTTATGATTGGAGAGACTGACATGGAATATGTCATCAATACAGCCAGGCAGATCGAGAACCAGTATGTATTTTAGACTATTCAAACAAATATAGTCAAAGAATCCCAATTTTACTTTTCTTTTTAACACGACCATTGAGTAACTAAATACAAACAAAATTTATAAAATATATAGTTTACGGCTCATAATAAATAAATCCGAGTGAAAATTGACGAATGAACCCAATTATTTTTACACCTTGGAAATCAATGGAACGGGTGACATTCGAATTATAATATTTCAGTTTGTACTGTCGTGCGGAAGTTCATGTTGTTATATAGCGAATTCTAAAATTCTTGTCTATGCCCCCTTTTGACGCGTCTCGCTGAGATTGATTTATTTCCGCTTCGGATAACGTTTACCTTTTCTCCAAGAACAGCACACACTACAATATTTCTTTGTAAATATAACCAACGTTTTAAACTTTGTAATATTAGCCGATGAATAGCAAGATTTGTATATTTTCAAAAGTTTATGCTTCATACATAAAGCATCGATACTACGAGGGTCAAACTGAAAGTTCTTAGAACTGGCCACTTATAAACAATATAATAAAAAAATAATTCAAAAATTTGAAAATATAACTCTTTGCCAATATTACTGAGTATATATTTCATTCATTTGTCATTTGTTTTACGATTTGGCGGCAAATTGAAAATTGTCTGTGTCACGTCATCATGAATTTAACACGAGAAAATTTTCGTGCAATGATTTTTTATGACTTTCGATGTCATTTAAGTCAACAAGAAAGTTATGATAGACTACGATTGGCCTTTCACGATGAAGCCCCATCTCGTGCGACTGTTTACAACTGGTTTAATGAGTTTAAACGTGGTCGCACTAATCTCACTGATGATTTACGTGAGGGACGGCCTTCTACGGCGACGACTGAAGATAACATCTGTGTTGTGCGGCGTATGATAGAGACTGACAAAAGAGTGACCTATCAACAGATTCGGACAAGCTTAGGCATCGGTATGAGTCAAGTGCACAAAATCCTCCACGAACATTTAGCGGTCAGGAAGCTTTGCGCCCGGTGGATACCTCATAATTTGACTGAGGCTCAAAAACTCCATCGTGTGGATTGGTGTCGTAAAATGATTGAAAGATTTAACGGAGGTGACTCAAATGCTGTGTTCGACATACTAACAGGTGACGAAAGCTGGATTTACTGTTATGATCCTAAAACCAAAAGACAATCTGCTCAGTGGGTGTTTCCTTTCGAGGAGTTGCCAACTAAAGTGAAGAGAGATCGAAGTGCGGGAAAAAAAATGGTGGCCTCGTTCTTTGGAAGGATAGGTCATTTTGCAACAATTGTGTTAGAGGATCAAAAAACAGTTTCTGCAGAATGGTACACTACCAATTGTTTGCCACTTGTCTTGGAAAAAGTTCGAGAGAAACGACCTCGCAGTAGGATCCTCCTTCACCACGACAACGCCTCGTCGCACACCGCCAAGCGAACGATCGACTATTTGGCGACATCAAACGTTGAATTACTGGGTCACCCGCCGTATAGCCCCGACCTCGCGCCTTGTGATTTTTATTTATTTCCAAAAATTAAAGAAAAACTTAAAGGAAAGCGGTTTATGAATGCTGAAGAAGCGGTGGCTGCGTATCGCGATGCCATTGAAGAGACCCCTAAGGACGAGTGGGCAAAGTGCTTTTCCCAGTGGTTCCATCGCATGCAGCGGTGTATTGACGTGAATGGACAATATTTTGAAAAGATATAATAAAACTAATAACTGGCTAATGTAATCAGTTTTTGATTTTCTAAGAACTTTCAGTTTGACCCTCGTAAAAGTAAAAACCGGCCATATGTGAGTCGGACTGGCCTACGAAGGGTTTCGTACCGGAAACGAGCAAAGAAAATCACGTTTGTTGTTTGTATATTTGTTAAATATTAGCTTAATTTTAATTTAATTATTCATTTATAAAGTTAATTAATAAATACATATTCTCTACATAGTTCAAGCGACTACCAGTTGTCGTTATCAATATCGAGCAATAACAAGAAAAAAACTCACGTTTGTTGTATGGAAGCCCCTTTAAAGATTTATTTTATTCTGGTTTTCTAGAATTTGTTATTGAAGTGGCAACAGAAATACATCATCTGTGAAAATTTTAACTGTCTAAATTTCACGGTTTATGAGATATAGTCTTTTGACCCTTTGTTTATGTTTTACTATTAGATTAAGCTAGTTTATACAAAATATTTCTTTATAGATTTCCTAAATTAGTTGACTATGGACTTATCGAGGTGATTTCACCGGCGGCTTCATATTATCCAAATTTTGAATCTTTACCTGTAACTTTGGGAGATTCTTTGAAAAGAGTTAAATGGAGAACTAAACAAAATCTGGATACTATATATCTAATGGCATATGCGCAATCTAAGGGCGTTTACTACCTGATGCTAGAAGATGACGTAATCGCTAAGAAGAATTACATGCAGGTGAGAGTGCAACTATGTAGAATGAAAATAAATGAATAAACGAAATGAATGGACAATATAATTGAAATTATAATACTTGACGGTTTCCATAATATAACAACCCTCACTCCGATTTTATGTCAACGCATCTGATTAATTTAATGTCAAATAAGCTTCTATGTAACTTTATCGCTTTTGAAAAGCCTGTTTGCTTAAGCTTAAATAACTTTGATAAGTAGCTTGTACTCATCAAAAGGATTAAGAAAAATAATTTCAGTAAAATGTATTTGATTATTTTTTTATATAAGCTACCTTTATGCTAACGTATGCATTCATTCATATGTGAAGTAGAAGTACCCACTATAGCTAAAATAGATTCCTTTATCACTTACAAAAGATTCATTTGTGCAAAAACGTTTTTCTTAATGATGAAGCTGTTGTCAATTCTTTGTGCAATTAAGTGCTACATGTGTATGATTGTGATGTTATTTCAGGATATGAAAGATTTCGCAGCAGTGGTCACCCTCGTGAACCCGGACTGGTTTTACATAGAGTTCTGTCACATAGGCGGCATTGGAAAGTTTTTCAAGTCCACAAACCTTGTTCATTTTATTACATACGTCCAGTTGTTCTACAATAATATGCCTATTGATTGGCTACTTGAAAGTTATTTATCTGATAAAGTATGCACCATAGAAAAGAATTCTGTAAGTCTTCTTTTATTTTATGTTTTAATGTTGAAATAAGATTTAAAAATCACTAATAAAATCTAAAGCAAAATCAGCAACACCTTTCACCTTACTGGATTTTTGATACGGCAACCCAGTACCGGTATCACAGCTTGAAAGAACTAAATTATTGAACAAAAATTGTATTACTTTCAGAAAAATTGTGTTAACAGTAAGTTAGCAATCCGACCTAGATACAGAACATCATTATTTCAACACATCGGCTTATATTCATCACTGAAGGGGAAAATACAGAAAATTAAGGTATTTAACCTTTTTATTATCACGTTTACAAAGAACAATATTGGTCCCCGTGGCCAATAATTATTTGGAGACTAATATTTTTCAGAAAAGACCTTGGACGTATAGAATATTTTATACTCCGATAACATTTTCGAAACTGCCGTTTTCGAAACTCTTGCAAAAATTTTGTGCACATATAACAAATAAACAGTTTGGTACTTAGGAGCCCCCATCCTTCCTTGCTACACCTTAATCTAGTTAAGTTGCAAACACTAATCGATATTTCGGTCGTCTTGTGTTGTAGGATTCTCATTTTGGTGTGGTGCCAACTTTTTATCCGCACCAAAATCCACCGCTCAGAAGCATCCGATCTAACATAAAAGAACAACTGGATCACACTCTTAAGAAGGCATACGAAGGAGAATCTTTCTTTTGGGGTTTCAAACCTAAAGTTGGAGATTATATCGAGTTTTGGTTTGAGAAACCAACCGCATTAGAAAAGTAGGTGTTACTGTAGATATTATAATAATGTATTGTATAATCATGTTATCATGGGGTAGTGTTACTCGTATTTATAACATTTAATTTATCTGTACAGGTTATATAAAGCTGATTATTATTGGACAATTTTATTTATAAAAGTCCCGAAAGAAAACGATACATTAATTGTTCAATTAATTATGCATTCTGAATGCAATATTGATAAATATTTATCATACAAAAAATTGTTTGAAATATTCACTGAAACTGTAGTTTACTTTGCTTAGGTATATAATCGTATATCGGGCACTAGGGGCTAGTGATATTTTAAGTTTGAAAAAAAAAATGAACATCTATTAGATAATTCTAATTTAATAATTTTGATCTGAGACTTAATTTTTTGTTTATTTTACGAGAATCATTAATATTATGTATTTATTTCTTTATTATTAAACAGAAATAATTACCTTTTTCAGATACATGTTCCGTAGTGGTAACGTGGAACACGTTTCTGATAAATTCTACGACACAAATGTAGAAATTCTACCAGTTAATGATAGTAACTTCACCGTAGTGGGGAAATTTGATGAGTTCGGTTTAGCTGAGAGCGAGCTCCGAAACGATCTGGGACCATTGTCTGCCATAAGGCTAATTGTGAACCGGAATAGTCATTTCTGGGCTATTCTTAGCGAGGTTAGTTCTATATCAGTCAATTATATCAATTCCGTCGGTGTTGACTGTTGTCGTGGCTGTCTGCCAGGAACTAAGATAAGTGTTTCTATATAATTTTTATTTGATTTTTGACTAATGTCACTCTATTCCCGCTGTTTATTTGTTTCTGCTTACTTACCCCGTAAAGGATAGGTACGGCGTGAAAATATAGTAGTATCTTATATCTACTTTCAAAAAATTGGTAGTTAAATATTAATAAATAAATATCATCATAATGGATACAAAACGGTTTCACTATGCTTTTAGATAGAGCTCAAGCCGTTAGAAGATACAAGATAACAAGACACGACAAGAATGCCGAAGAGTCATTCGACGAAGCAACGTAAGCAAACGACGATCAGGGAACATGTAAATACACCATACAAACCTTACTGTAATATCGACAATTATCCAAAGTTTTCCAAAGATGTTTATTTTATACAAAAACGTTTAAATTATTTTATCTATACCAATTTAGGAAGATATAATTAGCGCTAAATCGGCTCCTTATATTGCGTTAGTCGGATTACGTCACAGAACGGAAAGAGGTAACTTTAAATTTGAAAATATTGACTGCCCGCCGTAGTATTACTATCATATTCTATACAGATTCACATAGATCTTCATTGATACTCAACATCAACAAATCTTTTGTATCTTATCGTTGATGTGCATGGCGCTACAGTGAAGGAAACACCGGATATGGTCATGGCAGCAACATTTTAAGGTTGGTTCTGTCGCTCATAAACGTCATTTGGTAGAGCGAAAAAGGCAGTGCGTTGCCTAACAACTCGAGGATTCTTTCTGAATCTAGCAAATGGCGGTTTTGATCGACAGAATAGGATAAAATGTTTTAAAAAATTACGTCATCTATATAACGCTTCTTTTTCAGCGACTGGCATAGAGTATATTTTGTTTGGAAAAGATATGACATGTATTCGTCGGGTCAAATATAAAAAATATATAAACAAAATTAATATAATAACTTGTAACCTAATGACTCTGACCCTGGTTTACAACCTAATGACTCAACAGTAGGTTGTGAACCAATCATTTTAAAAATGAATAACGCTCGCACGCGTGATAACTAAAACTTGCAGCACATTTGTAATTCACATTCATATTCACTAAAGTTACATGTCCAAAAAACTTCTTAATGTCATAAGTTCCAGAGGAAAAATGAATGAGATTAATTGAATTTAAAAAAATCCATTCACATCATTTACTTTTCTTTTTAGTATAATTACATTATTTCCTTTTACTTGGTTTGTCCTTTTACTGGGAAAAATTAAGGGGAACTTACTATTAAAACTGAATACTGCGTAAGTAAGCGTAGGTTAGTTCATGGAACATAACATCGACTCAATATTTTAGCATAGAACTGGATTTTCTGACGGCCTGCGTATTTTTTTAATAGTAACCACCGACTACTGCTCTACAATAAAGTCGATTGGTGCAATTAAAAAACTATGATAGCTTATTCGAGCACTTTCACGTACAAGCGCTTTAGTTACGTGACTGGAGTGCTTATGTCGTAGAACATCACAACATAATGACAATATGAAAATGCCTATTGAAAGATTGTGCCTAAATGATACCAATTTAATTTTTCTATTGATATCAGCTGTTGTCTCGAAAGATTTTAATGAAGCAATGGTTACTGTTTGAAAGGACAATTCGTAGGTCGGTCGAACACCCAATAGTTAGTTAATAAACTTAGGTATACCAGAATGAATACCTCTGAAATTGAAAAAAATTTTAAAAATCTTCAATAATACTATTTATGCTTTTATTCCAAATATTTCACGTCGGTTAATAACATAATTTTGAATTGAATTTCATCTAAGTTATAATAATTATCTTCCATTAGCTAGCTAAATATGTTTATCTAAGCTTATCGCTAAGCCCTCCTTTCAGGCAGCTTTTTGAGATTAGTAGCATGTTGTAGATATACCTAGTTTTAAATATTAGGAGCTGTAGTTATTTGAAAGTGGAAGATGACTTTTACGATTGGCTACATGTAAATAGTATTTAGTATATAATGGAGATGTAATATTGCGATTTGCAAGCAATTTTTTTTATCCAGAACGACTAGTGGGTTCGCTTCAAGTTTGCAACAAGCGTGTACTTAACGATGGGTCTCGAGCGTACAGATATGTCGTGACATTTGATGCATGTTATTTAATTAAAATTAATTTGATTATTAAAGCACAATTGGGAAAGGAACTTAGTGATTGCTAAAATTATTACTTCAATTGATTTATTTTTTTAAAACTATCTCTTCAACAAAAACTTATTTAGTTTAGATATATGAACTTTTGTAATATATCTTTAAAGTCTGATTTTTAAAATAATCTATTGAATAAGGTATGCACGAAAGCGACCATAACGCCTATAGGTGTGTACAAACGCACTAATATCCTCCTACTGTCGTTGATCAGGAAAAATATAAATTGAAGACTCCTGAAGAACTATTCAAGTGACATATTCGCTGCTTGCTCGCTTCGCTCGGTCGTTCGTTCGCCACGCTCCTAAGAAAATATCGCGCGCGTGATTTTTTTGAAAATGCTCGCATATCGTCTTTATTATTAATCCTTAATTAGAAGTACCTTAATTTAAAATGAATCAATGTATATATATACAATTTATTCCCAATGCAATTAAAATGACTAGTAGGTAATACTTAAAAAGAGATAAGAAATATATATTTTTATAAAAAAAAAATATAATAAAATGCAAAAAAATGTAGTAGGTAAATTAAGCGTTCATTACGTTCGTGTAGCGATTTTTTGTCAAAGAAAACATATCTATCATAATTAGCTATTATAGCTAGATAAACCATTTGTAATAGAAACGAACCAAATACTTTTTTATATTTTAATATCAATATATTTATTTCGCTGTGCTCATATAAAGTGGTGATCACTCGATGCGTGAATTAACCATTATTTTGTCTAATCAAGTAAGTCTCTTTTTGTTTTTTACATTTTTTTGTACATTTAATAATTTATTTTGTGTACTTTTACTGTAGTATTTTGTACTGCATATAATTGTATATATGTATGTAATTCCCGATTTTAAACTGTTTGTTTTTGATAAATTGTAAGTTGTGTTAATATCAATAAAAAAAAAATAAAGCAGCAAATAACTCAACAGATGTTTTAGAAGTCACAATAGTGCATTGTTGACTAGTTGATATTACGTCCAAATTGTAAATTAAAATTGATAACTATTACGCCACATAAAGTTCTCCACTAAAGCTTGTGAAAGTGTTAATAGTTTTGAAACTATAACATTTGTATTCATAATAAACTTTCAATAATTTTCTTTAATACATTAAAAAAACCAAAAGTGAAAATTTGTTATAGCATAAATTTAATCTGACAAACCGATGAAAATATTCCTTTTTTATAAATATACATTTCATTAATATAAGATTTTCATAAAAAGAAATTAGCAATGATAAATATATTTTTAATACTTTTTTATACAATTAGTGAGTTGCACGTTTAATATAGATATACCAAAGGGCGTCGTCTTTGCTTGCCGTATTGTCCGTTCTGGTAATATATGGACAAAGATGCTGGCTATACACTTATGTTCACACTGAATTAGTATTATTTAAAATTATCACTCAATATTTCCAGTTAATATTATGGTAACTAGAAAAAACATAATCGAATATATATCAAGTCTTGTGACAGGAGAATCGTAATTTCTTTTTCTTTCTTTATAAAATGTATTTTTTTAGTTATTTATTAAATATATATAAATCTTTCCTATCACGATTTATATAAGAGTGATTTTATAATGAGTTTAATGGTTTATATCCTTCTTTTTCAGTTGTTAAATTATTTTTTGCTACTCTTTCTTTCTAAATAGTTTGGTGAAATGAAAAAAAAATTTTAATAATATTTAATGGAATATAATGTAAATAACTAATACAACACATTCAAATGAGTAATTTGAAATTAAGCCAGAAGATTTCCTGTAATTTTTCGTGTATATAAAGAATGACACGAGCAATATCTTAATTAATATAAAATATAGTCTATTTAGATTTGTGGTGTAGATAAAGATTTTAAAATTTAATTTTTTATCGATACATCAAACCATTTTATTTATTTATTATAAATTATTTATTATAAAAAGCTATGAGGATAAATATATTTTTATCGCATTTGACTTTGCAATACGAATTTCCCTTTAAAGAATTAAAGTAATAGTTGGTAAAGAGTATGTAATAGATTTATTAACTCATTTTTATTTTATATTGTTACTTTTTTGTTTATAGTTATTTAATAAATTTTATGTTGATAACGTTTCTAAATTTGTTTTTATGTTTCTAATATTTTATGTTTTCATTTTCGCTCTGTAAATTAATTGTATTATAATGTAAATAAAGTATAGGTCTATTTCGTGATATTTGGTGGTAAGTTCTAAGTATCGAGTTTTAAGGTCGTAGTAGACTAAAAATATGTAAATAATGTATTAGCGTCATAGCATTTCTTCCACTCTATTTAGGATATAATGGAGATGTAATATTGCGATTTGCAAGCAATTTTTTTTATCCAGAACGACTAGTGGGTTCGCTTCAAGTTTACAACAAGCGTGTACTTAACGATGGGTCTCGAGCGTACAGATGTGTCGTGACATTTGATGCATATAATTTAATTAAAATTAATTTGATTATTAAAGCACAATTGGGAAAGGAACTTAGTGATTGCTAAAATTATTACTTCAATTGATTTATTTTTTAAAAACTATCTCTTCAACAAAAACTTATTTAGTTTAGATATATGAACTTTTGTAATATATCTTTAAAGTCTGATTTTTAAAATATTCTATTGAATAAGGTATGCGCGAAAGCGACCATAACGCCTATAGGTGTGTACAAACGCACTAATATCCTCCTACTGTCGTTGATCAGGAAAAATATAAATTGAAGACTCCTAAATAAAACAGAACTATTTTCTGTTCACGACACAATTACGGGAAATGTACTTATCTATTACGATAAAATCAGTTGAAGAACTCTTCAAGTGACATATTCGCTGCTCGCCCGCTTCGCTCGCTCGTTCGTTCGTCATGCTCCTAAGAAAATAACGCGCGCGTGATTTTTTTGAAAATGCTCGCATATCGTCTATATTATAAATCCTTAACTAGAAGTACCTCAATTTAAAATGAATCAATGTATATATATATACAATTTATTCCCAATGCAATTAAAATGACTAGTAGGTAATACTTAAAAAGAGATAAGAAATATATATTTTTATAAAAAAAAATATAATAAAATGCAAAAAAATGTAGTAGGTAAATTAAGCGTTCATTACGTTTGTGTAGCGATTTTTTTGTCAAAGAAAACATATCTATCACAATTTGCTATTACAGCTAGATAAACCATTTGTAATAGAAACGAACCAAATACTTTTTTATATTTTAATATCAATATATTTATTTCACTGTGCTCATATAAAGTGGTGATCACTCGATGCGTGAATTAACCATTATTTTGTCTAAACAAGTAAGTCTCTTTTTGTTTTTTACATTTTTTTGTACATTTATTAATTTATTTTGTGTACT